CACACATATATATACATATATATATATATATATACCTATATTGATATATTATAATGGTTTATTTAACAGAATGGAGGGACAATAAACGATCATAAATGTTTTAAAACACTATTTTTCGATGTAAAAAATGTAGTTTTACCATATGTAGCTATGAATCCTTTTACGGGCCATTTGAAAGAAGGGGAAAAGTCTTAGAAAACAACATTTCAGTAATACATCAACAACCTCTTGTTTAAGATTACAACTATTTTCCAATATAGATGACCTACTTTTTAAAATTAAAACATAACTAAAGTGATTTAGCAAGAAATCTCTAATATATTAGAACATAAACCATCAAAATGAAGAATGTATTATAAAAAAGGCGATAAACTTCCAAAAAATTGGGGCAAAGAACCAACCAGGAAGTCTCATATAGTAAACTGATGAAAGGTATTAAATTCCATGTAATAAGACTTTATATACACTCATGGACAAAACTTAAGGAAGTTGTACCTTTCAGCATGTATATCGGGATTCAGACAATAATTCTGAAAGATATTACAGTGATCTTTATTGAAGACACACGAGATAACCAAGTGTGAACAAAATGGCCTCTGTTTCCTACCAAAAAAAAGAGAGACGACCGGCGACATCAAAGTCTTTCCACTTCATTTAGTTTTGTCCATGAGTGCATATGATATGAATATTTTGGCGGGTGTCAATTTGATCTATAAAAAGAGGTCACCTCTCCCGTCAAAACAGACGCCAAAAACTAAGCGCTATCTATCGACTGTCTCTGCAACACTAGCGGACTAGGGTCGGTGACAAAGACAGATTATGCGTCATACATGCGACCGAGGAAAAGTCGAGTATAACTAAACCTAAAATACTAAACTTTTATGAAGTTTCTAAGAAATCCGGTTTTAAGACGACAGAACTTTAAAATAGAAAGTAGTTAAAGCCAGGAAAAAACACATATAAAATCTCAACACCCATATAAAAATCTAAAAATAGATTCTATTTTTGTCATACTTTAAAAAAAGATATCTTTATTAGGCTTAGATAGGCCTAAAAATAGATGACAATGAAACATCTATACATAGCTTCAACATCAGAGTTTCTTGGGGATTTTAAAAGCCGTAAAGATAGATAGAGAGCTATTTTAAATTTTAAAAATATACTTGAAAGCTTTAGCGAGAACTTTTATTATTTATTAAATTTTCATCTCCTTCTTTAAACTTTTAATTTTATTTTGAATATTTTTTATTAGCTTTCTCAGAAATGCATTTTTAGATGGAATAAAACCAATGTGGATCATGTTAAGAGGGGATTGAATAATCTATTTATGGCTTCAAAGGAAAAGTTTGTGGTAGTTGAGCTTCTGTACTCTCTGTAGATTCTTTGGTAGCTTGCTTTCTCTTGACATGATCTACATTGGTTCTTTAAGCCCGTTGAAGAACGATTTTCGTTCGAAAGCTTGCAAAATAAACATGTTCTATAGAAGAAGCTCTGTTTGAAGTTTATATGTTAAGTTTGTTATTACAGTAAACTCTCCTATAACACGATTAATGTGTTCCGTGTTGTATGAAATCGCGTTATAGGAATTCGCGTTGTACGAAAAAAAACTTGCATAACGCGAATGTTGTTAGGGTAGGATAAGCAAATATATATATGTCATAATTTGTATAATTAATGCCCAAGAGATATGATATTTTTTCGTCAAAAGAAGTATGTAAATATGTTAAGCTTATGTTAAAATGTAAATATGCAAATTCATCCATCTATAAAAACTGTACAAAAAAAATAAAGGTGGCAGACATCGCGTTGTGCGCCGTTCGCTTGGCATAACGGTTGCGCCTCTTCATTTGACCACGATATATATATATATAAATATATATATACATTGTAATTATAATACAAATGAAAAACATCAAAACGCGAATGTTTCTTTTCACAAATAAATAAAAATTCTACATTGTAATTCTAATAAGGTTTCTTCCCTTATTTTACAATGTTGACGCAATCAATAAGGGATCAAGGGTTTAGTTTCTTATATCTTTTATTTCTTGAGCTTTCGGGCCAACATGCTCTTCAACACGGAGATCCTGAAATACAACAGAAGTAGTACTTCTAGATCTCCGTGTTGAAGAGCATGTTAGCCGAAAACTCTAGAAATAAAAGATATAAGAAACTAAACCCTTGATCCCTTATTGATTGTGTCAACATTGTAAATATATATATACTAGACGAATGGCCCGGGCAACGCCCGGGGTTTACCCGAGTGCGAATATATTCTAAAAACGTTGACTTGGGTGGTCGCTATTAACAGGGTGGTCTGTATAGACAGGTGGATGTATCACACAGCTGATAACAGGGTTGTCTAGAGTGGTCGCTATAGACAGGGTGGTCTGTATAGACAGGTTTATGAGAGAGGCACAAACTTACAGGTTGTTGACGCCGCAATCCCCAGAGAGAGTGTTTTTTGTTGCATCATGCTGTGACTCACACGACGACCCAAGGTCAACAGGGGTGGAGCAGCAAGCTTAAGCCTATCACCGTCTGGCGGCGCTGCTTGCGAGTTATATCTACAATTCTGAAAATAACTCTAAGGATATTCAAGATATTCAAGAAATTATTTTTCGAAAACCTTTCCGGGGATATACCTAATAATATCCCAGAATTTCATGGCGATTGGATGTATGGTTTTTGAATAACAGGGTTGTCTAGAGGGGGGCAGGGAGGACACGTGTTCCCTTGCAGCCAATGAGCGCGCATTCTATCCGTGAGCTTCAGACAAACAGACAAACAGACAGAATAAGGCAAATATATAAGTAGATATGCAAATCTACAGACCTATAAGCCTATGTCCCTAGGTTCCCTAAACATCCCTAACAACTAACAGAAATAATGTGATATATTTTTCTCTCAATATATAATAAGTATTTAAAATATGTATATAATAATGTGTATATAAAATTGTATTTATTATTAAGTTGTTAACGTGATAATCCTGTTGAAGGACTGACAAGTCCGAAAGCTTGAAAATTAAAAGTTGCACAAGAAACCTAACACTGAAAGCTTCATTTATTTTATAATAAACATCCCTAAGTTGCCTTCCATAGTAAATGTGCAGGATATATAAGAAAACCAATCCAATACAATAGTAAAGCGGTCTGTAGTTTAATTTAGTTAAACCGCTGAGATGGTTTACCACTGATGAACACTCTAATTCAATAATTTTTATCTATAGAGATAATATTTGATGATATTTTAATGTTTTCCCCACGATATACAACAGTTATGTTACTCCACCATTTTTACACATAAATTAAATAGAGAATACATATAAACACTTCCAACAAAGTTTTAAATACTCTAACTTATTAAGGAATACTCTTCAAAATAGGAAATAGAAGTATATATTTCTTGTATTGATAACCATATAGTCACTCACTCAGTAATTTCAATCTTTTAAGACATTTTTTTCGAAAAAAGTTCTCAAATATTCCAACTGTTAAAGTGTTTTTTACTAACTGGTTAGAGAGAGAGAGAAAGAATGATCTTTAAAAAAATAAAATTTTTGATAACCATATAGTTACTTATTCTTAGACATTTCAATCCTTTAAGACATTTTTTCGAAAAAAGTTCTCAAATTTTCCAGCTGTTAAAGTGTTTTTTACTAACTGGTTAGAGAGAGAGAGAAAGAATGATCTTTAAAAAAATAAAATTTTTGATAACCATATAGTTACTTATTCTTAGACATTTCAATCCTTTAAGACATTTTTTCGAAAAAAGTTCTCAAATTTTCCAGCTGTTAAAGTGTTTTTTACTAACTGGTTAGAGAGAGAGAGAAAGAATGATCTTTAAAAAAATAAAATTTTTGATAACCATATAGTTACTTATTCTTAGACATTTCAATCTTTTAAGACATTTTTTCGAAAAAAGTTCTCAAATTTTCCAGCTGTTAAAGTGTTTTTTACTAACTGGTTAGAGAGAGAGAGAAAGAATGATCTTTAAAAAAATAAAATTTTTGATAACCATATAGTTACTTATTCTTAGACATTTCAATCCTTTAAGACATTTTTTCGAAAAAAGTTCTCAAATTTTCCAGCTGTTAAAGTGTTTTTTACTAACTGGTTAGAGAGAGAGAGATAGAATACTCTTTAAAAAATAAAATATTGAAAGTCATATAGTCACTCACTCTTAGACATTTCAACACTTTAAGACATTTTTTCGAAAAGGTTCTCAAATATTTCAGCTGTTAAAGTGTTTTATAATCGACATGGGGGGGGGGGGGTCCTTTTAAGGAAGCTACTTCCCTTAGGCCTTATTTGTTTCAATTATTAAAGTCCCAAACGACCTTTTATTTTAGAGCAGACGATTGGAAGAGCCATCTTTTGGTCATAAATACACATTGTCCTCACAACAAAGGAAACACCAATAAAAAGCCCTTTAAAAATAGGTTTCTTTGACAAATTATCAATATAAATGAACATTTTTTTAGTAAACATACGTCTGGATTTTTATTTTAAAATGGCGGCCATAGATTTTTAAAATAATAATTTAAAAAAAGATAAAATAATTGGACTACTCACTTTAAATATAATAATAGATATTTTCCAGACTAACAAAAACTGAATAAAAATTTATCAATTTATTTATAATAGAATAGAATAATTTCGTAGTGTGGTTGTGAATTTGAAATTGAATAATTTTATAATTTTTAAAAAATCAATAAGACAAATATTTTTAAAAATCATAAATTTTAGTTTAAAAAAAGATAACTTTAAAACCGTAAATCCACTTTTCAAGGCGATAGCCTCCCTCATCTCAAAAGTTTATCTCTTTCTTGGTAAAGAACTATCTACGAAAGCTTAAATTTGATTCGACTTTGGAGAATTCATTCTAAAATTAATCATAATTTTTTTGATGATAAATATGAAAACTCTCGAATAAATATCTTTATAGAAACGACTTTGGAAATTATCCCGCAAATGTTTCTTTTGAACAAAAATATGTCCAGGGTAGCCTAGTGGACATGGCATCTGCCCGGTAAGCGGAACACTGTGGGTTCGATTCCCATCCTTGGAAACTTTATTTTTCCATTTACCATTACTCTTCACAATTTATTCTTTCATACCTCATCCCTAAGGTTAGAAATAATCGTTATTTCTCCTTAAAATAAATTTCTATTTTTTTCGTTCAAAATAAACATTTGCGGGATAATTGTGTCAAATGTCGTTTCTACAATCATAAGCCGCATTATATTGTTTTTATAAATATCTTTATTTTTTAAATTTTAGTTTTATCTCTCTTTGCTCAAATATAAGCGTTAAACTTGTACCATTCTGTATCAAAACGTGGTATGAATTGAGGCATATTAAAATACTGATAAAGAAGTGTGTGTGACAAAAAGGAGTAGTTAGACGAACTGACCAATAGGAGAATACCTCACACCGTGTATAGAGTAGAAAAAAAAAGTCTACAGTTCATTTATAAAGGCGAGTAGTTTTTCTTTCCTTCTCACCCACATCAAGCAATCCACTCGAATGACGACCAAAAAAAGGAGAAGGATGTTTTGAAGCCACTTCAGCAGTCAAGGTCAGTCCAGACTGGTTATTGGACACTTCCATAAATATGGATTATAACCGTTTTCTCTGCATACATTTATAATTTAGTTTGGGTTCTGCTAGACAGACACGTCTCTATTTCCCTCCATTTCTCTCTATTTCTCTATTAGAATTGTTACTAACTAAACAATATACACATAGTATACTCCGTATGTAGATGGAACTTTACCTAATGAACTTTATGACCGTTTTCTTCACACATTAACTTTACAAGTTAGTTTGGTCCGGTGTTCTGCTAGACTTGTCTTTCTTTCCCTCTATTTCTCTCTATTAGAATTGATAACAGCAAAATACACACACTCTGAATGTAACGGATGGATATTTTCAACGGTCTTGTTCTTTTTTATTTACACAATGGAAGTTTATAACCGTTTTCTCTCCATACATTGACTTTCTAATTTAGTTTGGGTTCTGCTAGACTAGTCTCTCTTCCCCTCTTCTCTCTATTTCTCTATTAGAATTGATAAAAGCTAAACAATACACATACTCTGTGTGTAGAGGATGGGTATTTTCAACGCTCGTGTTCTTTTTTTACATAATGGACGTTTATAACCGTTTTCTGCATACAATAACTTTAAAAGTTAATTTGGGTTCTTCTCCGATGTTCTGCTAGACTTGTCTTTCCCTTTTCTCTCTATATATCTCTATTAGAATTGATACTAACTATTGAACTTTTCAACGCTCGTGTTCTTTTTTACATAATGGACGTTTATAACCGTTTTCTCTCCATACATTAACTTTATGCTAGACATGTTTTTCTTTCCCCCTTCTCCCTATCTCTCTATTTGAGAGATTTAATACTACCTAAACAATATACATAGTGTACTCTGTGTATAGATGGAATTTTTCAACGATCTTGTTCTTTTTTACATATTGGACGTTTATAACCGTTTTCTCTCCATACATTAACTTTATGCTAGACATGTTTTTCTTTCCCCCTTCTCCCTATCTCTCTATTTGAGAGATTTAATACTACCTAAACAATATACATAGTGTACTCTGTGTATAGATGGAATTTTTCAACGATCTTGTTCTTTTTTACATAATGGACGTTTATAACCGTTTTCTCCATACATTAACTTTATAAGTTAGTTTGGGTTCTTCTCCGATAAACTTATCTCTCTCTTTCCACTCCTCTCTCTAGTTATCTATCAGAGAGATTTGATAATAACTAAACAATATACGCATAGAGCACTCAGTGTGTATAGAATGGAACTTTTCAACACTATTGATTTTTTATTTACATAATGAACGTATTTGTGCAATTATTGAACTGAATATGAAAAAGAGAATTGTGGAAAGGGTTTGCTAATCTGTGGTGAACATTTTTAGCGATTTCGCCAATTTAATACACCATATCGTTATACCTATTGTTCATTCGGTTTATATAGTATCTGTACTTGAAGGTTTATTCTTGACATTGATGTTTGAATGAAACTGTGGAAATATACTTTTGTGATTGTAGAAATTAGGTTGACGAGAATATAAGCCTTAGACCTACCATAATTTGGATACAGAATTGTGCAAGTTTAACGCATATATTTGAGCAAAAGAGAAAGAGAGAAGTAAAATTCCAAAAATAAAGTTATTTCATCGAAAGTTTTATATTTATCATCAAAAATATTGATAATTTTAGAATAAATTATCCCAAGTCGAATTTGAGCTTTCGTAGATAGTTCTTCACCAAGAAAGAGATAAAATAAACCGTAGAGAGATGAGGAATGCTATCTCATTGAAAGTTATCAACAAGCGATAGTCAAAAATGCTATAAAATCTGCAACAAGAGGTTTATCCAAATCTGTATTCCTTTGTACATTGGTATTTACCTTTGCCGTCAACAAAGAAGGTTGAAACAATGGCGTAATTCTATCTCTTCAGCAAATTTAATGGAGGGAGGGGAGGAGGATTTCACCAATTGGATCCTTTCAATGGCGCGATGAATGCCTAGAGATAGGTTCTACAATGGTATCTCCTTTCAGACCATTACCTCGCTTCTGATTGGTGGAGAGATCGTCTGGACTCCCACAATACACCGCGCGTTCTTGAGAAAGATAACCCCTCCGAAAGCTTCCTTTATTTAAAGAGCAATCTCTCACACACTCAAGACATTTTAAGACATCAGATATACATAACTGCCAGTGTATGTAGTTACTAAATTTGAGCTGCAAAGATTTGCAGAGCGTAAGAGTTTTTGTTGATTATATAAAAAAAAAAATGTTTAACACACTTATGGACAAAACTCGAGGAAGTGGAAAGTCTTTGAACTAGCCGATCTTCTGTTTTTTTTTAAGGATACTAGGCAATTTTGTTTACATTTGGTTATCTCGTGTGTCTTCAATAAAGGTCACTGTAATATCTTTCAGAGTTATTGTCTGAATCCTGATATACATGCTAAAAGGTACAACTTCCTTAAGTTTTGTTCGCACTTGGTTATCTCGTGTGTCTTCAATAAAGGTCACTGTAATATCTTTCAGAGTTATTGTCTGAATCCTGATATACATGCTAAAAGGTACAACTTCCTTAAGTTTTGTTCACGCTTGGTTATCTCGTGTGTCTTCAATAAAGGTCACTGTAATATATTTCAGAGTTATTGTCTGAATCCTGATATACATGCTAAAAGGTATAACTTCCCTAAGTGTTGTGCATGAGTGTAATTAATAAATAACAAATCAAAGATACTTCGTCCAGTTATTTGGAGAACTATGAACGCCAGCTAGGCAGCCTCTATCTTTATGATAATAAATAGCAGTAAAATTCCCCTGAATGGCTATTTTTTAGAGAATAAAAATACTTTAACTGAAAAATACTAACTCTAATAAGTGTCTATTTCCAGGAGAGACCCGCGTGTCATCTACATTCTGTGTGAGGATTTTGGAAAGGGAACCTCAGAGGAGATTCTGTTAAGAGATTCCTTCCCTGGAACCTATAGGTGTTGTCAACATTGTTGTTGGGGTTTGTTGAGCGGAGGAATAATGGAAACTGTCGATTTTCGACAACCACAAGCCAGGATCGAATCCTGGTATTGGCCTTTTTTTTTTTTTTTCTGAAGAAACAAAAATTGTCTCTCAATAGCCCCCGTTTCTTGCTAAACTCCAAATCCCACCAGTGTAAGTAACCAAACGGGGATTTATGGAACACTTGTAAGTGTAAAATTCGAACTGCTTTCTACATAGACTCGTAGAGAATTTAGAGTAAAAAAGCAGTTGCTAAATACCCACCATCATTATCAGGGTCTGTACCATATAAACCGGCCTACTTCAAAGTCTTTCTACTTCAAGTTTTTTTTCTCCTATAAGTTTATATATCTTGAAAACAATGTTTAGTAAAAGATTTTGATATTTTTACTAGGTTGATTGCCTATCTTCTTATAGTAGCACTTCTCTAGAAACTTTCTAGGCATATATGAGAATTAGACTTTTTTTAAACGAGCAGGATGAAAGAAATTAACTATATTTGAGACTAAAGGACTTTAAAACATCGATAAAATATTGAGCAAGCGCACCAAGGATTCAACAAGAATGTAAAGAGAGAGGATGTACTATCAGAAGATATCAAACGACTGAAAGGAAGAAGGAAGACTAGGAAGCGGTGGCAGGAAGACAATTATGTCAGCCGTGGGGGGAACTGAAGTTCAATTTGTCACCAGACGACTTCATTTGGGAAGGTCAGAATGTCAAGGTCAAAGGCGAACTGAGAAACAATTACTTCCAAGTACTTACTTACTTGCTTAAGTCACTCTCTTAAGCCTTGCCGCTACTGCGTATTTAGAGATATATGCAACTAGGAGAGCTTATGCGATTATGCAAATTACAAGAGTTTTTTTTTTAAACGTACATCTATATAAACGAATATTACAATTAAGTAAGATCAAAAAGTTATATATAGAATTAGATTTGTCTATAGTGAGACGTGTTCAAGATTGTTATTACTTTTTTTATCAAAATCTTCTTAGCATATGGAAAAATTCTTCTTCGTTCTACATATAGTCTCTCAACTCAATCTAAGCCCCAATCTAATAGTATGTCTAGTCAATTACACATTCACACACAGCATACAGGATATATGCAACTAGATTTTTAGTTTCTAATATTATGCAAATTCCAATAAATATCTATCCTTTACACGGGGTTTTGCATCACTCTATGGCAACACCTATAAATTACAAAAATGGCTAAACACACATTTCAATCTACCCAGTTGGGAAATTGAGGAGAAATTCCAGACTTGACATATGTCTCAAAGAAACAGGTAATCCACATAATATGTAAATACATTTCTTATTTCGCCCATTGGAAAGCGCAAGATATTTTAAAAATCTTGAGATTAAATTCATGTGTGATAGGTAGACCTGATATTTGAAAAATATATAACAATTTATAAGGTACCGGTTTCTTTTTAAATACATTTCTACTACCCTCTTACTTCAATGATAATATATATATATATATTGGGAGGACCCCT